CCATTAATAATTCAGTCAACAGAACCTTTAGTTAAGGACCTTCAGCACGCATTAACCCCTGCAACTTTATGATTCCCCGTGGTGCATTTGAGTTTTGTTTAAATACGAGGCCTTTGAGCAATCATATCCCAGCGTCCTCTCTGGTGACATCATCTGTTGTAGCTTGGCAGTCGCATTTGTTGCTCTCTACAGGCACGCAGCACTGATTCACTTCTTGGCATTTGCATTTCTGAAATGTGAAGTTTATTATTTCTAACACTATGAATTGGTCTCTGTTTTGGAAAATTAGGATGAGATGTGTAATTCATGATGTGTTAAATAGATTTCAGGATGTTTTATTATCCTCGCTCACATATAGTCTGTCTTTCTGATGAAGTACGGGAGTAACACATTTGAAACGGAGACCACAATATGAATATTCCATCTTACTATAACCACTAGTCCAGTGAAAGCTAGAGTAGTCATAGATTGTTGAGGTGCCAAGCAAACTGGTAAAATCCCCATTTTAGTTCTTTTTACATGCGGAAAGGACAACACACAGGCAGTTTGGGATGCTGGTGAAGTCACTCTGATTAGTACAACACCCTCTCTTTTTCTTTTCTTTTTGTTATTCATCCTCTCTGAAGAAAGCTACCGACAAATGATCTAAATTGACATATGAACTACATTGTGGCTGGATCTAGGGTTGTGATCTGTGATGGACTGGTGACCCATCCAGGGTGTACCTCATGCCTTAAAACAGCTGGGATAGACTACAGATTCCCTATCTGTCACTGAATTGGGATTAGAAAATGAAGGGATGGATGATTTATTGTTTAGGGCTCAAGAAAGAAACCTCTCATTGGATTCCAGGACAATTCAAGCAAGTGTAAATTCTTGAACCGAACTTGCAGAACTGTTTACGATTGTGTTAACTGTGTTTCGAAGGCCGTTTTTGTGCATTCAGAGGAAAAATAAAGTGATGAAATAGGACGAAGCATTCCGGTCTCCTTTTCTTCTAACTTATCATTTTGATATATGGTGATGGGGAAAATAATTTGGCACAGAGAGTAACTGGTGTTTAATTAGTGCTCTATTTTACCTTCTCTTGAGAAACTTTGGAACTGACAAAAAGCTGGCTACACAGCAACACTGGAGTCCCACAGAAGCAATAAGTAAAGGTAAGAAGAAAAGGCATGGAGGAACTGAGCAAAGCAATGAATCACTATGTTGTCAGTGAGTGAAGTCATTGAGCTAAAGGATGCGATTCTCTGGGATCCAAGTATTCGGGGTGTTTCTCACTTACACAGCTCAGGTACAATTTTATTCTCTCTCTTTGCTGGCTGTTGTTATTTTGCACTGTCCTTTAAGTGAATGACAGGGATTGATTGCACTTTTGAGTTGAGTCTATTGGCTCCATTTATGTTCAACCTGATTGATTAGTCACAGAAAAATAACCAAAACTAAGAGGGAACTTAAACCTTCTGCCAAATAAACTTCTTTAAACATCAGTATTTATAGTAATCACTCTTTCACAGTACCTGTAAAAGATACCTCATTCAGGAGGAAGGGTTACACTGAACTGAAAACACCGACAGGTCCAAGAAAGTCAGGCTCAATGATAATGATAGCTGCTGCTCCGTGGAATAACTATCAGATGTCACACTGACTTTTTCCATAATGATTCTTTGTCCACATTTGAAATTGGCTTGCTCCTTTGACACCACAACACAGAACGGTTGCATTACAGTGGCAAAGAAATTGGCAACATGGAGAGTGCACCATCATACTGTATCTTTGTTTCGGAAATGGCTTTTTTTCCCCGTTCAGTGACAGCAGTGATTTGATTTTACAGTTGAGTAGGATATGCTGCAGAGCACATATTGGCTCAGTTTCATTCTCACTACCAGCTGGCAGATGTTCTATGAGAACCTCGAATGATGTCCACTGTCTGTCCTTGCAGGTTTTAATGAAAATATCTCTATTTCCATCAGCCATGGGTCCTCCCCTTTCATGTTCCCTGCCTAATAAGCCATTGGTCTGTGTGGATAGACATTGTACTGAAATCACGGGTAACGAGAGCACTTCTTAGAAGAAAGTTTATTTTTGAATAGAGATGACACAGAGATATGTTTCTCAGTCCTAAAACTGTAGTAGAGAGAAGGAGGCTCCAAAAACCTCAGTAACGGAGTGATTTAAAGGCTTAACATAGATTTGTTATTTAGTGGGTGACTGTAATTTCTGTCAGACCATTTTAGCCCAAAGAGGATTGTTGTTCCTTCAGCAGTAATATATATTTCAAAGTATAGCCCTGTTCTGGGAACTCCCCGCCTTTTCATGTGCATATGTGGAAAACCTAAAAGCAGGGAAAGCACCAGCAAGACCGCTGCAAATACCCAAGTAGGCATCAGTTACAACAGACATGGCATAGATTAAATCAGAAACTGTATGAAGTAGAGGAGCTAGAGTGGAGGTGGGTTTGCAAAGTGGCTTGCAGGGGCAGCAGGAATTTTATCAAGGGTCAAGCAGCTTTAGTGGTATGCCCTGTATAAAAGTTGCCAATAAGATAAGCAGAACAGAATCAGTTCGTCTGCTGGGATTTAACACAGAATTATTGTTCAATTTCAACCTGGATGGAAGTTTCCATTTATATTAGAGTATAGCTGGAGACTCTCTTTCAGAAGAGTTTGGTATTTAAGTAGAATATCTGCAGTTACCGGGAGGTCCCTCCGATGGGATCTTTTACATTTTCTTGTAATCGTGTTTCATGTTTTCCATTTACTCTCGACGTTGCTTTGGGCTAACAGGTTCAGGGAAAATACTAGTGACAATGTTTACACAAAGTCTAACTTGTTAATTTGCAATTTCTCGCCCATTTTTTTCCTAAAATAAATGTTGCTTCTGCTGTTTTTGCTTCTGCTCCAGACTATCTGCCAATGTGAATACTGAGTTTTCATAATATGTCAATAGCAGGATATCAGTTGTAGTGCATATCATTAAAATGCACAAGGAGAGACATACAAAGATAAATTCATAATTAGCTTAAAGGCTTAAATTATTGTTATATTCAAGCATCAAGCAAAAGTATAAAAAAACAACCCAACATTCGTACATTTACTGAAACTGGAAAAAGGCCATTTGTATTGTTAGAGCTGTTAGAGCTGTTTTTGTATTCTCTCCCTCTTTCCTTGGTGGCTTCTTTGCTTCACCCTCACCTGTCTAAATGTCATCTGTAATAAGGCAGACAAAGGTTGCATGTTTTGAAAGAGGCTGCAAGCACTGATCTATGAGTCTTTGGCACAATAGACACTATATTGAGAGTAAGAGTCAAATCTGTTGCCTGGATTCTGGGAGAAACTCATTGCTGCTTCTCTTATTATAGGTTGAGTCTTCAGGGCAGCCCATAACAAAGTACCCCCCTTACTTGAAATGCAATAAAAAAGTTTCTGTGGTCATGTGATAGGGGTTTGATGTTTGTTAATGCCTCAGCTATGATATTTACAACTACTGCTGTACAGGTATCGAAAGATAAGTAAAAAAATCACCCGCAATGCACAGTCTCTTACACTATATCACGCAGCTGTCTCCACACAACCTCATACACTTTACTTGTGCTTGCATGTGCATGTTTTCACGTATCACTGTGCAAGCAGTTCTCGTAGCTACTGCCCGTCGTCTTCAAGGCCTGCATTGATTTTTCACACCATTAATTTTACTGGGCAAAATGGCTCATCAGGTACACAAGGTGAGAAACTATTTTTGGTGGCTTTGTTGCTGTCGAACATGCGTGTAATGGAGGTGTTAGAAATATAGATTGCGCTGCTGTCTGTAAATGCCAAATATACAAAAAAACGTTACGTAGAAATTGTGTGTTTTCAGTGTGCTGGTAAAGCTTTTATTAATTGACAAATCCAGACAACAACACAGAAGAATCCTCTGCAGAGAGCCCCCTTCCACAATCGGCCCAGTTCTCACACACATAGCCCACGGCTTATTCTATCTATCCATCGACAAGCTTGATCTTTCCACCAGCAAGCCAATCTGGCCTGCTGCGTGGCTGAATGTGTGAATCTGCGATGGGAGAGATAATACACGAGTGTTTGTTTGGGTTTTCTGGACCAATAGATGAGAGCACTGATTGAAAGGCAATGTGGGGATGAGGCAAAACATCTAATCCTTTTTTGTGATTTAAAAAAAAAAAAAGAGGCCTACTTCCCTTTCTGCCTAATGCAACAATCTTTGATCCTTCTACTCAGATAATCCACAGACTAGTTTTCATACAAGTAGCTCAGTTTAGATTTATTAATAGCTCACTTAATTCTATTGGGATCCGTTTCTTCTGAGCATAAATCATTTGTTCCACACCTCCTCTGCTGGCCTGTCGTGCTTTACAGTAGATCCATCTGCACTTGAGCAGGATTATGAAACAACCCCCCGGTGACACTGACTGTGCTGCCCATTGATGCTGCCCCCACCCTCCAACCTGCTCTTTTCAGCTCCATCCACTGTGGCTAATTCTGCCTGCCTGATCCCCTGGGCGTAATTGATCTTCATATCATTAGCCGTATGTGGATCTATCTTGGGAGACGCCCACTGTTTGACTGCAAGTCAAAGTCAGCCCTCATTTAAGCATATGTATGTCGCAGCGAGCTCTTTGATTGTGGCTCCATCGCAGGTCTTCATGCAGGAATGGTTGTAATGTAAACTATTATGTTATCAGCCTGGGGCCTGCCTAGAGATAGAGGCTCACTGACTGTTTAGTCTAAATATGTGGAGGCGGAAAAAATGGAGCTCAGCAGCGCGTTCTTCCCTCGCGACAATAAGGGGACGCTTGGGCCCCAGGAGGAAGGGTGTCGAGGGTCTGTGTGTGAGCAGCCTCCTGGGTGTCCTCAGATCTCACATCTGGCTGATCGGGGAGGAAGAAGTGGCCTTGCTGCTTACTCGCACCTCCTCGCCACGCTGCCACCACCACCACTACCGAGCTCACTCCCTGTCTTTCTCTGTGTGCTCCTCTTCTGCAGATGGTGGGAGCGAGGACTTGGCAGACCCCCGCTCGCCCAGTCTAGACCCTCACCTGAGCCACATCGGCCAAGGTAAGCAACCGAATCTCCAAAGAGAAGTTTTCTTTAAACTCGAGATAGAGAAAAGTTTGCAGTCTTGACAGGAAACGTTATGCCTTCCACAGCGCCTGCTCTTCTCACCTCTTGCTTTTATGTGCTCACAGTGTGTATAATATGTGCGAATGAGAAGCTGAGTTGCTGAAAACAAACGTGAGCTCTTTTCTCGTCCCCCATATTTCCTCCCTCTTGGCTCTTTCCAGACTCTATTTCTGCTCCCTTAATGTTTTCATGAAGCCTTGTTTGCTGGACCACATTTATTCCGTTTTATAACAGCAAGTTTATGACTACTGGAAATGAAGTTATATTTACAGGGAGGGCAAGTGTATGAATTTTATATTCTTGTAATTTTGCCTGTAAATCTGAGTAACTTTAAGGGGAAATAGGCTTGTATATATGACATTAGATGGTATCAACAGCGAGAATGTCTGTGGTTGGCAGGAACTGTTTGGGGCAGATTGTTTTTTTCCACCTCATACATATTTTGAACCGAACACCTTGATGAGTAGGTGGTTCTGTTTATTTCGAGGCATGGAGTGGTCCTTGTACACGACTCTTATTGCAGTCTAAAATGAAACACGGTAATTTCCCCTTCACTGCTTTTGTTCTGTGGATTTCACCGCTGAAGTGTGGCTGGTGCTCCCTCTCTGCCCTTCTCATTTTTGACCTGAATGAGACCATTTAATATCTTTCTCAGGATTATCATAATTTTCAATGAGGCTTTCCAGAATTAAATGGACTAATTGATGAGATTTGGGCTTTTTCCACCACAAGAATGTTGGCTAAAACTACGAGTATTTGGATGAAAAGTGCATTTCAACTTCTTGGACCGGGGTCCGTATTACAGGGATATTATTTTACGCCCCACAGAGCCATACTTACTGCATTGCAAATAAGCTCCTGCACACTATACACCATGAAAAATACATTTATTTGAAACACTGTTGAATTTAGTAAAACTTTATTTTCATTAGTGTAGGTCTTGTGCTATTCAAATGTATACCTGCAGGATCACCCAGACATGTAACCTCTGGGGAATGTTTTGAGACTAAAGGTTAACTGGAACATTTTTCAATAATTATCTATACATTAGGTGTAATTTTTAGGAAGGATACATAAAAGTGGTGCAGTGAGTACTGTCAGCATAGTAAGAAGACTCTGGGGTTTGCAAGGCCTGCTGGTCTTTATGTACTCTGGTTTCCTTCCAGAGTCCAGAGGCATGCATGTTAAGTTAATTGATGATTCTAAATAGACTGTAGGTTCAAATGTGATTAATGGTTAATGGTGTCTCTGTTAGCCCTACAGTAGATTGGTTACCAACCTCTCACCTGGCATTGGCTAGGCTGGCAGCTGAGAATAGATGGACGTTAATAATTGTCTATTTCTGTCTTTATTTGTTTAATTAATTATTTTTTTAAATAATATGACCTGCTGTAAAGAGTGCACTAACTTCTCATATAAGCTCTTCTGTGTCATTAACCTCTGATAAGTTATACTATATTTCTAATAAATACATTGTTGCAGGTTAGAAAGTGTGCAGGAATCAGGATTTGTCTCATCCTCTATGGGGTATTGAACTCCAGGCCTCGAGAGTCGGTGTCCTGCAGGTTTTAGATCTCACCCTGGGTCAACACGCCTGAATCGAATGATTAGTTCATTACCAGGTCTCTGGAGGACTTCAAGACATGTTGAGGAGGTAATTTAGCCATTTAAATCAGCTGTGTTGGGTCAATTACACATCTAAAACCTGCAGGACACCGGCTCTCAAGGCCTGGAGGTCCCTACCCCTGTTCTATGCTCTTAGCTTATGAACTAGATTGGTGAGTGTTTTCAGTAGTACTGACTGAAAGCTTCAGACGTTTGGGTGTGGAGTGTGCAGTACTATGCATGTACTGCACTTTAGTTTCTTTTTCTTTTCTTTTCTTTCTTTATCACCAGTGAAGTCAGAGAAGAAATCATATGTCAGATGAACTGATGAGTTCTCCTCCCAGGGCATCGCATTATGTCTTTTTGTCAGATACCATTACACACGTCTATTAGCGCTGGTGCGTTGACGCCTTGTCTGTTTTCAGAGACCTACACTGTCTGTTTTCAAAGGAGGGAGAGGAACCAGCGGTATAATAATAATATAATAATGGATTGCATTTATATAGCGCTTTTCTAGGCACCCAAAGCGCTTTACAATTCCACTATTCATTCACTCTCACATTCACACACTGGTGAAGGCAAGCTACAGTTGTAGCCACAGCTGCCCTGGGGCAGACTGACAGAAGCGAGGCTGCCATATCGTGCCATCGGCCCCTCTGGCCAACACCAGTAGGCGGTAGGGTAAAGTGTCTTGCCCAAGGACACAATGACCAGGACACAGAGAGCAGGGGGATCGAACCGGCAACCTTCCGGTTACAGATGAGCTTCCCATTCCCCTGAGCCACGGGCATGCAGCTAGTTTATACCTAAAAAGTCGAATAAATAAATAAAGCACATTCTTTTGTATTTGTTCTGATTATTTTAACATAAACGGCCACAAAATTGTTAATTTATTTAGCAGGTAATTGATTGAGAGTAGCTTACCGGTAATTGTTTATTTTTGTTCAATATGTCAAAGCATTAAAACCAAGTCTGATCCTGACTGCTGGCAACTGCTATCAGAATACCAAGTTAGCTATTTTATATTCACACCAGTGTCTGCATACATGTGGAGAATTTCCATGCCGGGGAAAGCAACCGCTGCTCTGGCTGTTGTTTTTCACTCTCACAGTGACATTCCCCAGTGAATGGATGGACTGACTCCAGAGCCACAGAGGGATTGATGTGTGTGTCGGATTGTGTTTGGCATTTCTTCTATGAGTGCAATTGTTTCAATACTGATGTATTTATATTACAGCAGCCAATTTGCCCCCTCCCTAGCCATCATACAGGCTTCCTCAACGACCGGTATCTGATAATGGCTTTTTGTCTCACCGTTGCGGCTGCTATCTGGCGCGAGCCTGTTCCTTGACCAGTTGGTTTTACAGCTCAGTCTGCTGGGAAACGGGCAGTCTGAGCTAGAACCGGTTCACAAAATGGATGTTTACAGACAGCTGGCTGATGAGTGCGTGTGAAATAAAAAATAAAACCAAAGTTGTCATAATTTGTGGGTTTTAAAGCAAAAGAGGAAAAGGGGGGGTATGAGTGATGGTAAGTGGTTGTTTATACTGGCTCTGTAATTACCGCTCATTGTGAGAGGCTTTTTTCGTAAATAAAATGCTCTCTTGTGGTCATGACTGTGCTCTTTTCTTGTTTAAACATTTCAAATGGTTAGAAAATCCTTGATTATATAAAAATTGCTGGGTACTGTGTTACTGCGGGGCTGACAGAGGTCAGTGATGTAAACTGCACGTGTTGCCTGCAGGGCTGCTCTCTGCTGGGTCACGCCAGTGATGTTGCACTCAATATCAGTAGTGCACTGATTGCAGGATCGAGCGAGCAGGCTGAGGTCCTATCCTCATCCAGAGGGTGACACGGTTTCTACAGCAGGTGAACAAACAGGAAAAGAAACAGAACAAAGAAGTCCAACTAAGCACTTTAATAGTGGATATATTCTGATCCTTGCAACCCATTATATTCACCTATACCTGTCAGCCTACACTCTAAGAAATAGAGGCATTTCAGTCCTAACAGGTAGAGTTGACATGAATGTATCCCTAAGGTTAATTGTTGGACATCAGCGTAACTATATCTACCTTCTCCACAAAGATTCTTGTGTCCCTAATGAAATGGTACATATTTGCAGCATTTGTTTAAATGTTTTAAGGTGCAGTAATGTGCCACATGCGCAAGGAAACTGGGTAAAATGTTAGCTGAATAGTGCTTCCTGCATTCAGATTGGTTTTATTTGAGGTGCTTTTGGAAGGGATACATTTAAACACCAACTGAAAGGCACCGTCTTGAACTATAATCACATAATCATGGTGTGGTCATCTTTATCCTAAAGAAAATCCAACATGTTCTGGCATTTAAGACTTTGTAAGAGAGTATAAATATATTTCATGAACCGCTGGACCTTTCCTAGTGGTGGTCCTTTAATAGCAGACTTCCACTTGTGGAGTACCAATAATGGCAAATATCCACCTTGGATGAGAGTGGAATATAAAGAGCCCAAAAGGGTTTTAACACAAAGCTAACCATTTTTATCAAATTTAAATCAAATGTGCATAAACTGCACACAATAGCACAAATCACAGATAATATGAATGAATATCAAAATACAAACTGAGTTTATAAAACTCTGAATCAGCCATTTACACCAAGATATTTAGTCCAGAAATTCATAAATTCCTTTGGTTAAAACTCCGTTGTTTTGTCGCCTCTTTACATGGAAAGAGGGATGCGGTCACGATTACTGGAAGACAAGTAGAATAGATCCAAATGCTGTTTAACATCCTGATTAAACTTTGTAAGATGAAACATGTTTTTTGGATTTTTTGGCTAAACCTGAGCATGCGATGAGAATAAGGGCATTTAAAATTATATTTAATAAGAGGACGCCTTT